CGATCGTTGGCGCGCCGCGTCGCGCTGCGCGTCCTAGGAATACCCCAACTATCATGCTCTTTGCCGCGGCAAGCCGACCGTTCACTACTAGTCTCGTACGTCAATTGCAGCCACCATATTGAAGAAGCCAACTTGAAACGATCTTATCGACTTGCTGTGCGTCATCTCTGAGCAGCCGCCGCGCCAGCCAGAATACGGTGAAGTCCGAGAGCTCCTCCCGCCCCCGATTTGTTTCAGTTGTATGCGTTGGCCTTGCAGCATGTGGAGCTCAAGTGGAGGCTGAGAACTCAGCCGCACGTCCAACCGAGCACAGCATTGCTGCTAAAGTCACATTGCACCCAAAAGACCGAGATTTCTAGACAGATAGCTGCGTGTAGGTAAGACATTTGGAGCACATGTATTTTCCATTTACTAGTGGCTGTGTAGACCTAAGTGGGAATAATCGGCTACCTCGCGATTCTTTGGCGGATTTCGTGGTGTGTAGCCAGCTCTCAGTATATTCGCAGTGAGGCGAAATTGCATAGCACTATCTTGTAATGCCATACACGAGCTAATCCATGTTAAGTTAAAGAACTAAGCTGCTGCCTGAAGCTGAGCTGGCCTTTTTCGCCACCTCGTGAGGAAGTGGGGCTGCTTCAAAGCACATGTAACGCCACTTCGGCAATGGAAAATCAGGTTATGAAGGCACGAGAGTGGACATATTAGCGAGTCTTGATTATGGACCGGTCGGATACTGATGCAACTCGGTCACGCGAGCCTCAAACGGGAACCAGTCCCGATAGATTTCTGGTTGTTCTCCTGACTAATGATGGTGTTGGCTATAGAATTTTACACCATAACCGAGGCAAACAGAAAGCTTAACCAAATCAGGAATCAGGCAGTGATCAGCCAACGGTTGGGCTCACATTCCATCAGTCTTTCCTCTGCTTACCATTGGGTGGTCTATACCATCACCTACCCTCGGAATGCCGGATAAGTAGGCTTGTGATATTAGTCCGGACTCTTTATACATGTCTCGTACTTGTTGTCATAGTAAACGAATGCCCAGTCGTATGAAACACCTGCTGAGGAATAGCCTAAGTTCTTGTACAAGACATTATGTCATTGTCTCTACATAGTAATCCTCCCTTGATTGACTGCATAAGCATCATTTCTCCAGTGCTCCTCTGCCCATTCTAGAAGATGATCCCATCACCATCTCCCCACCTCTATCAAGATCCTGAGGAAGCCTGCGCCCTACTGCTTCCTACCGCAAGAAACCCAGGCTTCAGGGTCAGCATCGCGCTTGACTTTCCCGCAAGAAGCCCAGACATAAGCCGGCGCCGCCTCAGCGGCGTCACGCTTGTCCTTGCCGGCGCTGACTGAAACGTAGGCGGGAGCCTCCTCGGCGGGAGCGGCGGCGGCGGCGTCACGCTCGTCGACAACGGCATCGATGACGGGGTTGGCCTTCGGGTCGGCGATGGCGGCGGCCATGGCGGACGCGGCAAGGGCAGAGAGGGTGATGGCGGCGGCGAACTTCATTGTTGTTGATGTTTGTTCTTGTTGTTGTTTTGTTTGGGCGGGGTTGTGCTGCACGGGGCGGGGTCAGTAGTTGAGTCCCCTTGTTGGTGTTCATAGAACGGAGAGCTTACTGTAGTCGAAAGATCTGGTGCTGTCACTGGGAGATGGAGAGAAGAGCTGGTGGAGCGATGTTGAAGCGTTTTGGAGGCGTGAGAGAGGGGACTTTATACCACCTTGCTTCACTTCGTGGTAAGTGCCTCAAGTTATTCTAAATTTCCTGCTGATTATTCTCGGAGGGCCTTCAGATGCATCTGGAGCTTCTAGTGCCGCACTGCTCGTATCCCAACAATTACTGCCATCCCCGGCGGTCACGGACGTCCAGACAGTCGTCAAAGATCAGCTCCGCACCTTCCAAATTGCAACAATCCGAGGGATTCTGCAATAGAGCTGTGCTACATTACGGTTGGATTTTGCACCACGGTCCCCAAAAATTGCGTGGTAGATGTTGGTGGCTTGAAGTGAAGTGGCCGACTTAACCGTCTCCCTAGGGATCATTTCCTGATTTGGCAAGAGTATGGGATACGTTTTGCTAGTATTTCTGGTTTAGCAAGGGTAGGGAATATGTTTAGCTCCCATTCCTGATTCGGAAGGAGTAGAGCATATATTTAGGTCTTATTCCTGATTTGGCAAGAGTAGAGGACATGTTTAGCTGTCGCCGATGTTTGAGAGAATGGTCCGTAGCTCTTATGCGCTGGCATACCTACCATCCTTCGC